CTTTGGGGAAATTAATGTTTACTTCTCCATTGTATCCTGTTTATCATGCAGAGGATCACCTAACGGTGCAACGCTTGGCGGCAGATGACTTGACAAAGACTTATGTTTACTTTTATTATTGTTGTCGCAGAACTTGAAAACTTGAAAATGCGTTAAATTAGTGTATTTGTTAGAGGTGCCGAAATGAACCAATTAAATCGCACCGAGAACGCACCAATGACAGCAAGCCTCCAAGCTGCCTTCATCGACCCGAAGTAATTCAACCCTATCGCCTATCAAAGGCTAACAAGCTAAATGGCAAACGATACTTCGATATCAACAATTGATATTTGCCCTAAATTGCAAAAATTCCTTATCTTTTGGCCCTTTTTGTGTAATTAAAATATTCTAAAAAATACGGCTTTTCATTTGCTTTGGAAATTTGCGTTGAATCAGCGCATATGAAATTTCAGGTTTATACTAAAATTTTTCATGTAATTACTCGAAGTTTCCTACACGACGAATATCTGCTGACAATAAAAACAAAGTCAGAAATTTCTCAGGGCTTGCGAAGGCGAATTTTTTGGTAATCATATTTGACGCGTTTTGCATGCGCTAAAAACTTTCAATTTAATACAGGTTAATTTTTTTATCTTTTCGTGTGCGCTGTCGCAGAAAATACTGCAGAATTATTTCAAAATGTTCCATTTCCTGTGTTCTTTTGTCTGAAGAGAACGTCTCGGTTAGAATTTTGGATATCTATAACAATTTATGTGTGAAATTGGTCAGTCTTTGTGCTAACAAAAGAGAAAAAGCGACAGCTGGTCGGGACATAGAAGGAGACGTCGGATATTATTCAAACTAGGGTGCATGCTTAGTTTATCTTTTATTGTCATCCTAAAAAATCGTTTTTCTTTTTATTAATTTCCTTTGGTTTTTTATTGATCGGCGAATGGCTGTTCATCTCTCGAAAAAGAAATGAAGCCTTAAAAAATCATTATAGAACTCAATAAATATCAAATACACTCAAAAAGGATAAAGCAGAAGGGGTATAACACATTAGTAACATCTTGTATAGATCCCCACTGAGTGCTTCAAAATCGTTCTTCTACTCAATAAATATTGAATTTGGATAATAATGATGTCAGTGCATCGAAAAAAAGGTAAAATTTTTCATGTTTCTGAGAGTCAAGGGTCAATTATGGCTTGCGAATGTCTAAAAAGAGCTTGATTGGCAACATGAACTGTATACCATGGAAGATTTTCTCTTTTAAGTTTGCAGTGTTTCTTCGCTGACACGATTATAGTACTTGTATATATGCAATATTGACAGTGTAACACACAGACAGGTTAATTAACGAAGAAAACCATTAACTATTGGGTTAATTTCGTGGACCGCTGACTTGGACAAAATTGATCCAGACTTTCCAATCAAGTTTTATTTCGAGTTTTGAATTTAAATTCTCTTTAGGTCTTCATGAAATTTAATTACACTTTAATATAAACAGCAATAGATGACTTGACGGACTTATGGGAAAAAAATTATGATATTTGGGGAAACGTATATCCTGAAATTTCATCTGAATTCCAATCTAATGGCAAAAAATCTTCAGTACATACTTTCTCTCGCAAATTTTACGCAGGCTTAGCCATTCTTTGTGACTCAGTCAGAGGTAGTCTCTAGGGGCAATATAATGACTGAAAGAGAAAGCTGAAATACTTATCTTTTAGCTACGAAACCAGGTGAAATTAATAAAACCACTACTGGGTATTATTTTTCTCCCTAGCATAATATTTACCAGAATAAAGTCCAAGGTTCGCCAATTTTACACCCAATAAATGCTTTATACTTTTACTTCACTTTATTATTCACCCAACCCTCGCCGAGCGTTATTCATGACAGTTTTGGCAAGTAAACAAAGGACAAATTTTTTCATTGTCATTTAGCAGGTGCAGCTAGCAATAGCTTAATTAAATTTATTTCTCATTTTTTACCTTACTAGATACGTCGAATATGGAAAGATCACAAAGGAGGTAGAAAAGACATTCAATGTTCGAGAAATATCAGGAACAAACGTCCTTAAAAAAAGCCAGGATAAAAAAGGTATATGGAATTTTTGTTAAGTGTTTTCACATGATAACCAAATTGAAATCACAGGAATTATGATCACAAATGATGTCTTACTCTTATTTTCTCCGTGTTAATAGCAGACAGCGTAACGAAGCTTGAACGGCAACGCTTTGAATTGATTTCGCCAGAAATTCATTTGGTTTCATGACTAATTTTCGGGTTGCCCTAAGTTCATAGTAATGGGTCCTAAATCAGCTATCTGCTGTTATGAATTTCCGAGAAATTTCATGTTCATTTTCGAAGATTGATTCCAAAACATCCACCATAATTTTCTTCCTGCGATGGCAAAATCATATAACAGGATGTAAAAATGTTTATATCTCAACATTTAACTACGAAGCAACATGATAAGTTTTATTATTAACTTTCTTCTCAGTTTATGTTCAAGACGCAAATTCACTTGCATTTCTATCCAAAGAAGAGGTTTAGTTATGAACCTAATTCGAATCGTTAACGAAAGATTGATCTAGATGTATGGATCCGTCGAGTTTCTAGTCTTGCCATGGATTGGTTGCAAATAGAATGAAGTTATGTTTCAGGTTCCGTGCAAAACTCGTGTTTTTAATTCAAATGTAACATTCGAAATGCGTCAGTGGCACTCTTGATTCTTTTCAACTGAGCCAGGTGGACAATTGAGGACATTGAAACATTATAACACCACCGGAGGAAAAATATTTTCAAACTAGATTGTTATTGGCTTTGAGTTCTTGACGAAAAAAGATTTGTAATTATTTAAACATCATCCAATCGTACATGTTCCAAAAAGGAAAACTGAAAAAGTAAAATGCATTTTAACTCGTAGTGCACTTGAATTCATAATTACTATTCCGCCGTCAGTAGGTTTTTTTCGAAAGACAGTCCATTCGATTTATAAAAACACATATCACGATATATGACAGCAATTTTGACCACAGACAGTTAAGATCAAATTCATACTCATTAAGATAAAATAGGCTTTAGATATACCCAAAAAATAGAAAAAGGGTAATGAAAATGAAATTTAAATAATAGAATAGCCTATTTCATATTTTAATTGATTTTTTGTATTTTATATAGCTTTTTGTGATAGCATTATTTGAATACCTGATGTTATCTTTATAAACAGTGCTCTGCTCTAGGATATCCACCTCGTGTTACATTGGTAGTTAGAGCATCGGCTTGGGGAGCCAAAACTCAAAGGAGCTACTGTAACATCTTCAGTCCAATATTGCTAATATCACACACAGTGAATGGATGTGAAGAGTGCTTTTGGCATAATTTCTTTTTCTATAATTTGCTTCAAATGTATCCATTATTTTTAAGGTTTTACGGATTTGCAATTATGTTTTTGTAAGTATATATTTTTCTGTAAATATTGAAGACTCAGCAAAATTTATACCCTAAAAATAAAACAAAAAGAAGGCTGCAAAGTTTAGCTCACGATTGTTCTATGAAGACAAAACAAGGAAATTTTTCTACCTTATAGGATTTTTCCTACAGCTTTAAAATAAGTTCTTCATATCATTAGCCTACTTTCTCACAAAAAAGTAGTTTTTTCGGCGAGACTGTCGGCGAGACAAATTTTGCGAATTGAAATTAAAATAAATGGTACATATTTTCAAAACACGTTTTAGATACCAGAGAATTCTGGACACGCACAAGTTTAATATTTTGTTTGCTTTTTTTAACGTCTTCCATTATCCAGAAAATTATACTTTCTAAAACCAACATACAATCAAAATATTTTAAAAGCGACAGCGGCTGATAATTGTCAGAGAAAGAAACAATTTCCTTTTTTTTCTAAGCCGGAGATTAAAATCAGGTTTTTTTGTTATGTTGAACCTTGCAAAGTTAATTTTTGTCCATGTTCAAATAGAGAACTTCATATTTGTTTTGATTTTGAAGTTTGCAAATTGGTCTTTTTCGGTGTGTTAAAATCACAAGGAAAACAAATAATTTCTTCAAAAGTATAAAATACTTAGGCACAGAATTCAAATACTCGATCGTAATTCAACCAACTCCTTTCTAACATAGTTGATATAAATTCAAACGAGTCCAATCAGATATAATGCTTTCAGATTTCGAAGCCTAATCTACTTCCAGTTTACTGATGGAGCGGAAAATTTTAAGGGTTGAAAATAAGCGTTAAAACAGGAATTCCCTCTCATTGATGAAAGAGAACGCAAATATTTTTATTTTGTACAATAAAGCCATGACACACCACAGAGCGACAAAAGATTTTTTTCTTAGCCATTCAACGTTTTTGTTGTTGTCGTAGGTTGTTTACTTTCTCCCATATAATTTCCAGAAGAAGAAATATGTTAAGGTTTCTCGGCTGTATATTTGTCATAAATAAGCCAAATATCAAATTTTCGCTCAGAAAATAAGCTTCCTCCTGAGTAAACATACCATCTGCATGAGGCTGAGCTCCGAATTGGCTTCATAGAGAGTGTCATATCTAATAGCACGTTTTGAAAAAAGAAATTGATTTTAAAACCCATGAGTAGGTAAAATTTCATTGCTTTTACTTAACAGCTCCACTTTGGCTATCGACTGTCATCAATGCTTTCCATAAGCTTACTTGCTTAAATGAAACGTTAATTTTTTAAATAATCTGTAAGATTATAGACAAAATTCTGTTATGCAGGACCATAGTTAGAAAAGATCAATAGCTTGCAAAACTCTAAAAATAATTTTTATTGGTCGTTGCAACACTTTTCTATTCGCCTGACCGTACTTAATGTTACGTAGCATTCAAATTGTTGACCAATAGAGCCTCCCAGCGATTTATACAGCAAAATGTGTGAATCCAAATGTATAAGATTGTGCAATGCCTGGTGCTCTCAATCCTAAGGACAGACCAATTGTTTTCACTTTTCATTTTTGACAATTTTACTTTTATATGTACTAGAGCTATTCGCTTTCGATGAGCCACATGAACATGTCAGAAATAGAATCAATTTCGATGACAAAAAAATCAGCCTAAACAATTTTCAGTGGAGATACAACTATATGACAACAAACTCGCAAGAGAAAAATATCAACAAATGTCAAATTTCCGGGCTCATTTTGACTTCAGACTGCATCCTCTCTCCATCTAATTAAAATAAAAATATAAGTCCTGAATCAACATTTTCAGCTTTTCCAGATTGTATAATTAATAATCAGGGGAGAAAAAAGAACTATGATGTCATCGATTATTTGCATAAATTCTGTTTTTGACAGTTCCTAGTGGCATTCTGGGATTGAAGTTGTGCTTTTGAGCGAAGTCCTCTGGGCTCACTCACAAAGGCAATGCTTTCGTTTCATAAAGGCTTGGCTCTTAGTAGACCGCACTACTGCCAAGAGATAAGACTGAGCGATCCCCACGACGTATCAGACACACGAGCAATTTGCAAAACAAAGATTAAACGAACGGCTCGGAGTTCACTCTGCTGATTGGTAAGACCCAAAATTAAAATGTGTTTTAAACATTATTTATGATTAGTTTTAATTCACTTAATTCAAGTAGCTTTTAGTTAGATGATTTTAATTGATGTCTAACAGATTTTTTATCCCCAACTGATTGATATGTAGAGTTCTTTTTCCATGACACTAATTTTCCACCATAATATTCTACTTCTACTGTCGTATGTTTACGTTGTCAGTCTGAAAATTCGTTATCATGGACTGTATCTTCTCAATATTTTTTAACTTCCAAAAAATCATGAAATTATTAATTCCAGTATGAAATGAATCACAAAAAGTCAAACAAAGTAAAAAAATTAGAGATATTGGTGACACTTTCAAACCGTGAAATTTCCGGAAAAATTGGATGCCCAGAGACGAAAATACGTTCACATATTTTCTCAACTGAGCAAACACGAACCACACTGGCACATTTTAGCGAACAAAGAATCGAAAGCTTCTTATTTACACAGATAAACGAGATCACCGATATTTATGTCATCACTTGCTTTTTAGTCTGTCTTTTGCCTGGAAGCTCACGCGGTTATTTAATACTTAGTGACGTTCGTCCCTGTGATTTGGTTGTATCTCTTTTTCAAGCCTTTTATCCTTTTTAAAGGGCTTTGCCTTAAGTCGGTATCCCCGATCATCAGAATGAGCTGCCGTGATTGGTCCAAGCCTAGACATGTTTTCCGAGTTCCATAACTCAGTGTTTGCACCCTATCACTGAAATAGACTCATTCTCAATATTTATTATTCCGTATCTTCACATTTATTCGTCTTTTCATCACACTTGTATAGAATCATTTCTTTTTTCTTCTCCTCTTTTTGGCAAGCATGAAAATATAGGACACAAAAGGTGCCTTTATGTTTACAGGTAAACATTTTCTACCAATTAAGCAAATTTAAAGCATATATGTAAACAAGGGCATCTAAAATCATAAAACACCATTTCCTTTCTAAACAGCAAAATAGAAAGTTGGTATGGCAACCTTTTCAATCAAATAAGACACTACATTTTTAATCATTTACTTAATCTTGTTTCAATTTTTTCCTTTTGATAAACATAACCAAATTTGCATAAACTCGCATTCGGTTTGATAACCTCGGTTGCTATGCGACGGTAAAGAAGCAATTGTTTTCGGCGAGAAATAAATCTCGGTCTCAGTGTAATCATTATTTCAGCTAGCCTGTAAACAGAGATTGCCTTATCCTGCTTGGACTGGATAATGGTATCATTGTCGTTCAATTGACGAATTTTTCATTAATGTTACTTTTTTTTCCTTTTTGAACAGATCCTTGAGAAAATATTGAGCCTAAGAGAAAGCCTTTTTAAATTTACATTTTAAGTTAATTGTATTTGCATCACGGTGGTGAACTTTAAGCCAGACCATTTTCGAGTGACATGGATTGAGAAAAGTGAGAGATTGATTAAGAAAACTGCACTTTAAAGCAATTTACCACGATCGGCAATATCATGCGCATTTTTGAATATGCATCTGTTTCGATACTTAATAAAATCAATTTCAAAATTTGGTCATCTTTGGACAGTTTTGTTTTTGTATAAGCAAAAATTAATCAAAAGCTTTCAGACTTTCTTATTTACTGCTACATGAGCGTCAGCCTCAAGTTACTGAGTACTTGTAATGACGAGAGAGTATGGGACGAGAAAGTTGACCCTCTCCACTCCCCCTGAGTAGATAGCACGTCGTCTAAACGGTTGAGATACGAAAGACTTGTTCTCTAAAAAGAGGCTTCATTCAAATTCTTGGTTGCCTGAAATGTAAAATAATTATGGACTAAATAATACCTAGCTATAGATCTTAAATAAAACGAATATATTATAATTTCGGTCAAATCTAGACAATAACTCGAACGAAGATTATCATAAGACGCTTTCGCATTTGTTTTTTTTACAAAAAGCTTTTGTTCCCCGATCGTTTCAGCAATAAAAAAAATTTTGACCGGTTAATAATCTAAAGTGCTTCATCTCAAAGCGAACAGAACTTTTAAAGTGATAAATGAAACGAAAGTAAACATTTACTTGAGCACGTCGTTTTTGCCCCCAGGGTACAGATAACTGACAGATGAATTAGTCTACTTTAAAAAGATCGTCCACTTGTACAACCACGCAATCTGCATCTGACTAGAGGTTTCTCAATATACACCGCCATCGATACTAAGGTAAAGCAAGTCTATTCAACCTCGTTCAATTCTTTAGGTAGACTTGTGAATTCTGCTTTTCAGAGTGAAAATTCTTCTACTTGAGAAATCTGTAATTTCGTATTGATCAGTGTACGTGCATGTCAAAAGCATGGCTTCATTCCATTTGATATTGACTTAAGATGCATTGATACCAGCACGTTTGCCTTGAAAAGTGTACTTACAAAGGAAAATACATACGCTTTACACATTGGCAAGGCAACTTGTTAAGTGGACTTGAGTGAAGTATAATTTTTCCTGAGCTCTCTACAACATCTCGTCCTTGACAGAAGTCGTTGTAAATTTACCTACCATAGCAAATTGTGATTTTTGACACTTCTCGTGGCCCAAAAACAATGATGTCAGTTTTAAAAGCGTATGCGTGGAGGGAACACCTGTCAAGAAATCTTGTTAATGTCTATGACGGTTCTTAAAGTCACGTTCATTCATGAACCTTTGAGCTCCTAATGAATTTTAATTTCGATTAGAGTGAACAACACGTATGGAAGCATCGATGGCCCGCATGGATCTCTGAATTCTACCAAATTTACTGAACTATCTAAAAGTTTTCGAGTCAGGAAGGGGAAAACGTAAATTTCGAGTCAGGGAACCAGAAGTAAAGAAAATATACAAAATAGTAATAGACGGGTAGACTTCATCCCTTCCATTAACAATTATATTCCTATCGCCGTCCATAGAGCATTACCTACGCGCGTGCTCCAGGGCACAAAACCGCTACCACCACTATGATCAATGATTCACCTGTTTGCTTCGCTAAATCGTCAGAGATAATAACAACACTCAAAGATAAAATTCGCGTACGCTCGCGGTCATGCAATATCCTAGATATATCGACTGAGTTTTTTATAACTTAGATGTATGAGCTTATGTTATTGAACTAAAATCCCTAATATACTTAATACATATGAGTTTCAAAACACGTGCAAACTTTTGTACCAGCCTGAAGGCTAAAATAGCTATGAACAGCACTAATTCAAGATTTGCATCCGTGAAGTTGGACACAAGTGAGTTTTACTGATCAAAGGCACATTACTAAATTGGGGCTTTCAGAGGCGTCTATGAGGACACGAGGGTCTCGGTCAATCGAGATCTAAATTTCAATTTAATTCCAAGGACTGCCTTGTCAGCTGGATGAGAAAACGTGATCTCTTTTTCAAATGTACGTGCTAAGAATTACAATGTAAATTTCGTTCACCATGTATTGCTGATATAAAAGCGATCATGAAGTCAACCCCCAGGATTGAACTAGAAGATTGTGTGGAGATCTCGGCGCGCTCAAAGTTTGACAACTCGTAAGTCTTCCTAGTTCTTCATTTTACACGGAATTTCAAAATACTCCCTCATCAAGGTCACATATGTAATCGTATTCTAGAATTTATACTTGTTTCGGGTTTGTTCTCATAGAACTGGTTAGCGCTCGTGCCAACAGTCGCAACAACAGTCTCTGCCGTTGAAACACTTTTCATCAAGGTTACAACGAAAAGATCGATCCAGATAACCCAACTAATTTACTGACTTGTGGCCAAAATTCTTCGTAACGTTTCGTTTGCAAGAGGCTTTTTTCACTCTCGACAAGCCTGCGTAGATGTTCGCTACAACAGTCGTCGATCAGTTATCTCTTTTTCCGTTTTATTACGTTTCCTTATCATATTTTGCAAATCAATCTCTTTTTGCTTTATAGCCAGTAATCTAAATTTCAGTAAAGTGTCAGTGCAACTCGCCAAAGTCACTAAGCTCTTTGTATTTACTGATCAAAATTTTTATTACTTGGAGTAGTGTTTACTGTTTAAAATTCAAGGATCACCCGTCACGAATTAATTAGACTTGTCTTTTTAAGGGATTAGTCCTGTCATAAAAGCTTTTGGGTAAGTTTTAATATTCAAAACGAACTGCTCGTAGATTATGATAGTAGGTTTAGTGGAAACTCTTGATCCACGATAGGCTCTATAGCCCAACCGTTTCGCTCCTGTGTAGTGGCAAAACCTTGACACAAACTTGACGTAATTATATAAAATGAAATTTCACTAGGCATAGGAAATTATACTTGTACCTTATCGACCTCAATTTACGGTAGGTCTAGATCGTGCAATTGCGATTTTTTCCTATTCGCATAGTTAAAAGTTCAAGTTGAATCTTCTTTTTATTCTTGCAGATTTTGTCATTCAAGAACCATTTTTGTTCACCTCTCTTCAGAAAACTTGAATTAAACAAAAGGTACTGTTTTGAACAAGAAAAGAAAGCAAAGAAAGGCGACAAGCTCTGGCTAATTTGGTAAAATATTAAGTTCGCCAAGCTACTTTGGATCCATTCAAAGAACAAAAGATTGTAAGGTTGTGAAATGGCTTTTAACAATTCATCTACCACGCGATGCAATGATGGTGAATGCCACACCGTTAACCTCATGGAATATTCTATGACAGAAAGAACAGCCATAGTGGCCGCGAACATGCTGATATTTTTACTCGCCATTCCAGCCAATGGGATCGTTATAACTGTCATATCACGTGTGCAGAATGTGCAAACGCCTACGAGTACATTTCTCATGAACTTGTGCATCGCGGATATTTTGATAGCTTCTTTGTATATTCCGTTTGTGACAGTCGATTTGTACGTGGCAGGAAGCTGGATATTTGGAGACACAATGTGTAAATTGGTCTCCTTCTTATATTACCTCGCAACGAATCTCTCCATTCTGATTTTAACAGCCATCTCCGTTGAGCGATATGTCTCCGTCTGTCGGCCAAGACAGATTCGTTTGACGGCAAAGAAAGCATTTGTAATTACAGTTCTTTTGTGGTTTGTCGCAGGGTTTACTGCTCTGCCGCTGTTGATTGTTAGAAAGTCTATATTCAATCCGATAGTCAATGTTTACTTTTGCGTGGAGACATGGTCTTTCAAATACTCCAAAGCTTACAAAACTGTCACGCTGGCTATGCTCTATGTGACGCCTCTTGTGTTCATGGCCGTAGTTTATTACAAAATCGGTAGAAAAGTTTGGACAAGTGCTGATAAAACAAGAACCATGAAACTCTCAACCAAGCATGCTTCAAACTCCAAGCTACGCCTGACGAAAATTGCATTAGCAATTATTTTAAGCTTCGCAGTGTCTTGGACTCCATTCAACACAACGACGTTACTCTTCTTCTATGACCGGAAAAATTTTCCATATTCAAAAGAGGCAATGCATGTAGCAGATCCAATAATATTCTTTGTCGCTTTCTCCAATTGTTCGTTGAACCCACTGCTTTATTGCTACATGAGTCAAAACTTTAGAAAAGCTTTTCAAATATTTTGGAAGAGAAGATCACGCCGTGACCTTGGAGACTCCTTTTCTGTCTTCTCGAGGACAAGCACGAAACGATTTAGCAGAAAGAGTAAAAGAAGGGCGGAGGAGGCCGTGAAAGAGCCGAACGGTGTACCATTCGCACATGAAACTCTCCGAACAAAATCGGACAATCCCGACTACTCCCCGACAAGTCAGCAGCCGGAAATGCATAACACAGTGGAAAGCATTTTAATAACATCGGCAGTGTAATCGTCACATAACATGACTGCTAATACTGCAGTCCGAAAGCACGAATGGAATTGTCATTTCAATCAAATGTAAACAACTCAGCAAAACTCTGATTTTGCGATGTTTTCCTTTTTTCTGTTTTGGATCGGTTTTGTCTCGTTTTGCCTCAGTTTTATCAAGGGTTCGCTTGTTTGTTTATTTTTTTATCTTCGTGTGGCTAGTACGAAGTGTAAAAGTAACTCAAGATCATAATCTGAGAGATCGAATAGTCTATGTTCCTATCGCGTGGTTTACTCTGAGATGAGGGTCCACTTTGCGCTAGTTTTAAGTTGGCAGTAGAAGAAGTTAATCGAAAATCGTTATAATCTTGACAAAGACTTAACCCTTTACAATTTAGCGTTAGTATTCATACTTCCCATGTTGTTCTCTTTACATTTCTTTTGGTACTAACAAAGAGAATTTGTTTGACAATCAGGAGTTATTTATTATTATTATTATTATTATTTATTATTTATTATTATTATTTATTAGTTATTTATTATTTCTGTTATTCTCACGTCTTTGACTCAAAGAGCATTTGATTCACGAGTGATACTGTAAAACTGGAAACGGAAAAGAAAACGAAAACGGTTTATCTTCCCCAAGAGGAAGATGAACAATTAAGGCTTTGACATGCCACGCTTCTATGGAGCTTGGCAACCAAGTAATGCCAAAATATTTGTGTCATCAAATACAAAGGCGCGAGCGTGCTTCAGGTTCTCATTGTGCACGATTTTTACGTGTATGTGAACGTGCGGAAGCGTAGCTTATAGACTTCCTCTTAGTAAAACACTGAAAAAGCTGGCTGAAAGTTTAAAAAAACAAGGTCAGGTCGATTGGTTGTCTATTCCCAGCAGGGAAGTGCGAGATTTTGGGAAGGACAACAAATTGGCGCTAATTTAAGAAACAACATCCTTCAAAATCAATTTCTCCAAATTTCTTTAATTTTTACTCGATCACAATCGAGCTACAAGGGAACTGCTTCACAGTGTTTGTAATTGTTAACTTGATCAGGACGTAGGAGTTTCCCAGTGGCGATGCGCGCCACTTTATGATCATCACGCGAAGAAATGTCTTACTGGAATTCTCTGATTTGATTTCGTCAAAATGTACATGAACTTAAACGCTTACAGCATAGATATGCGTACCTCGAATTATCCTTCCGGCGTCTTTTCGGTGATCGCGACCTGGATAGAGAGAAATAAAAAAGCATGAATAGTCAAAAAAAATTTGTACTCATGCCATGAAGAAGTTTATTCGAAGTTTCTGACTCAATATTCATTATCGTAATCGTCGTATCACAAATCGATCTCAAAATCTGTATGGTACTGACCTTGAACGGCACCGTCTTTCAGGTGACCAGGAACGTGTGCTGAGGGAAAGTTGTTTACCATATCCAAAGCATAAAAAAGATAGATTCGAATAGACTTGAAAAAGGCGCATGGTTGAAACAATCCAAAATAGATATAAAATCGCCTTGCCGTTGATCGCGACTTCCTTTTTTCTCCTCCCTGCTTTTCTTTTACCCATTATTACAATTGCGAAAACCGACCAGACACAACTTCGACAAAGATAACCACCAAGCAACTTCCACGCGAATCAAACGTGATACGATGCCATAACAGGACATTTGACAGAAAACCTGTCAAGCTGTCGAGCTGTGAAGTTGTCTTACAACTCCAAACACCTCCGGCCGGAAGTTTCGCAGGAAGACTTTTCGCGTTTCTAGTAGTTTTACTTTGCACCTTGTTGATTTCACTTTAAAAAGCTTCTTAAAAAATATATAAAAAAAAAAAACATAACCAATGCAATCGAACAGGAAAGCGGTATGTATTATTCCATTGGCATGACTACGTCATTCATTCTTCTGAGGTCTCCAAACCCAATTATTCATTATTTATTTTTCACTTAAACCCGCTATTCATTATTCATTATTCAGCTTCCACCCCTGAGAGAGAGCAAGTCAAACATCTTTTCAGAAAATATTCCAACTAAAAACCGCGAAATTAGATGATATATCAGATAATGCAATTATTGGTGATATGAAATTACCAAAAGAAAATTAAGAGAGAAAGGTGAAACCCCTTCTTACAAAATATTAATTGAAGATGAAATTCCAGATACTAAAGATGAAATTCCAGATCATGAGTTGAAAGGCTTATTTGATGATGGTGTTCAATTTCAACAGGAAACACAACTAGTATCGATACCCGAACTACCTACATATGAACAAAGTCTTGCTGACATTTTAAAAGGAAAAAACAATTATATACTGATCCTCGATATCTTCCAGAGGGACCAGAGTTACCACCAGGATATGAAGAAGATGTTGAGATAGACTGTGCTATTGATAAAGAAGAAGAGATTAATGTGTTATTAGCTGATTTAGGACTCAAGAATTATGATGATGTTAAAAAACAACGTAATAGAGTTGATATGACAAATACTCGCGCTGAAAAATTCTTGAACAAGATAATCGAACAAGCAACACATAAACGGCGCCAGTTAAACGGTGTAAAAACACAGAATATTCTTTTACACAAAAAAGAAGCAATGACAGAACAAGACCTAATCGTGCAAAATAAACAAGTCGATGACAGACGAGTTCCGAATGAGTAAGTTAGATATCATAAACAACGACTTGAAATAAAAAAGGATCTGGAATCAGAAAAAGAAACGGTGGGAGTGTGATTGGAAAAAGGGTTACGCCGGAAGACCATAATACAGATTGGGGGGTGCTTTAGATATTCACAAAGCAATCGGGAGGTTACCAAAACCAAAAAGTGGTTGGACCTTACTTTTTCGAAATGGAAAAACAACAAAAGAGAAAGAAAGGTGTACAGATAAAATATAATACTGATGAAGAAAGAAAAGATGCTATCCAAAGATCCAAGACAAAATATATGCTCAACAAGGAGTGGTATTGTGATGTTTGTAAAAACGGTCATAATTACTCATTGGCTGGCAAATGGAAGCATGATAAAAGGCAAGATGCACCAACGCTACATTCGTGATTAAACACCTCTTCAACTTTTAGTTATCTGCAAACTGGTTATTTCAACTTTTTAAACGCACAATTCTGAAAGATTTATCTATGAGTATAATATAATGGAAATGAATGATAAGCATAATCAGGATGTATATATTAATAAGGCTGATCTCAAAAAGCTCAGTAAATCAAAATTGATCAAACTGTTGTTGTTGAAACAGAATGCAGAATCAACTCCCAAACCAAGCATTAAACAAATGCTGAAGCAGAGAGACATAATATACGTAGAAGACAAATCATTTTCTACAACAGAAATACCAATCCCAAAACCACGAAAGAGTGTCAAAGAAATGGTGCAGGAGTATGAAGATAACATAATACTTCCAGCAATTGAGTTCAGAGATGGGCGCAAACCTTTTCCAGTACTTAGAAATATAAAACCTGTTCCAGCACCTCGAAATATAAAAGCAATTCTAATGCCAAGAACAAAAATAGGGCAAACAGGTAAAGCTCTGAAAGGATATACCAAAACATTTGAGGTTGATGTAAGACATAATAAAGACCCTTTAACACAATTACGAAACACCAAAAAAACTTTAAACAGTATTCAATCTTAAAAAATAATTAGATCAAATTGGAGTTATTAAATATGTGGAAAAATTGAGATCAACACGTAATTAGTTTGATGGAGACGCCACAATCATTAAAGCAGCCTATTTCAACAGTAAAACCGAGACGGTTATCAATGTAAAATGACTTAATCTGGATTTATCAGATTCAAGCCAAGAGATTCAAAACAAGATAACTGCTTGAATATCTGAAGGTTCCGGTTGGACTATCAATTTAATTGATAATCATTATATCCACGTTGTTAAATGTAACCCACCGAAAGGATCATCTTATATTCAATTACCATCAGAACTTAGAAACTCTTTAAATTGATAAACCTCAAAAATGAAGATATTCAATGTTTTCGACGGTGTCATATCACACATTTAAATCCGCCAGAGAAATATCCTCAGAGAGTCAAAAAAAACTGATAAACAATATGTTGACGAGTTGGATTACCCAAGAATTGAATTTCCAGTATCTGTAAAACAGTACAACAGAATCGAAAAACAGAAAAACATTAATGTTAATGTGTTTGATTATGAAGCAATACAACCATTCCAATCTATTTATCAAAAGAACAATTTAAAGATGAGATAACCTTTACTTATAAGTGATGAGAGTGAAGAATTCAACTGGGGTGAGCCAACTGATGAAGAAATGAGACATGGTTTAGTGATAAATACAATGGAAGATGTCAATGGGAAAAAGTCTTACATGAAAAAGACATTAGTGGATCACTATGTACTTATCAAAGACTTAAACAAGTTTATGTACGATGAAACAAAAGATGGACAAAGGAAGCATTTCTTTATGTACTGTTTGCTGTATTCCACTTCTGAAGATATGTTGAACAAGCATAAAACAAACTGTATCACAATAAATGGAAAGCAAGCAATTGAACTGTCTGTAAATTAGTCCTTTTATATTTTAGTCGTTTTTATATATATTAGCCCTTTGATATTTCAGCCTTATATTTTAAATTTTATTAATTGGTTGTTTTATATTTTAGCCGTTTCGGTAGAATGTAATTTTTAAATATTCTTATGAATAATATTTGTGATGTCTGTAACATTTTAAACATTTTTGTAAAGCGCTATTGGACATCGCTAGTAATGCTCATCAATACTGTATTATGAACCACTTCAGATTAAAGTTTGAAGAAATTAAGATGTCTGTCATCTTCCATAATTTGAGAGACTATGAAAGCCATTTTAAAATGCAAGAGATTGGTTAAATAACCAAAAAGCATACATATACAAACAAAAAAGGGGAAAATGAACAGATGAACATAAATGTAATAACAAACAATATGGTAAAATATATGGCTTTCATGTTAGGAAAGCATCTTGTGTTCCTTGATAATTTTTAATTCATGAGCTCCAGTCTTGATAAACTGATAATAGGTTAGTTCAAAGACGAGGCTTTTAGTAGAGCAATTACTCATTTTGTCAGCTTAAGATAAAAAATATACTCTTATAAAAAAGATAATGCGAGAAATGATAGTACAGCTAAAGGAA